ACACACACACACACACACACACACACACCTATTAGGTATCTTCTCAGCTTTTCTTTGTCATTGTACAGCATGATCAGGCAGCCATGTGTGTGGTATTAAGGCCAGTGGAGTGGGGGTGGGGGGTGGGGGGGCTAAGGAGGCGAAGGTCAGATGTGTGTCTACAGTGTAAACACCGTAAAGGCCTGAGATAAGAAAGGGAGTGGGACAGAGGAATGGGTTGGGGGATGGGGTAGTCCTAACCAAGTGGGTTCAAATTATCACGAGAAGAAGAGGTGCAAAATTGGTTACTATATATACTTGTATTTATGTATTTTTCTGTGTATTTACATATAAAATGAAGACAGGTCTCATCATTGAAAGTTACTGTTTATTTTCATTATACAGGCAAAGCCCCTAAAACATTTTCCATTTTGTTCTCTGATTTCTATTAAATCTGTAAATTTAATTCTAAAATTGTGTTCTCTGTTGAATAAAACTGGAGTTACAACATAATCAGTATATTTTTCAMTTCTCCAAATCCCCTGCTAGCATTGCTTTGCCTTTAAAACAGAAGGAATTTTTACAACAAGCATTCTCCCACTATTCTAGTCCATTCCACATTAGACAGTTTTGCATTTTTGTACCCGCTGTTTGGCCAAAGACTACGGACCACTCAACAATTAGGCCCGCGCCATAAACCCCAAGGACACATGTGCAAAGTTCACTGTCAGCTACAGACTTGTTTACGCCAGCTTTGCATTCTAGCTGCACCTCAGAACTAGCATGGACTTATCCTGCAGCACCCTTTGACATGAGTCATTTTTTCTTTAAGCAGTTGATTCATGTCCAGTATGTGCCASTAAAGTGTGCTGGTGTTCAGTTCTTGTTCATGAAGAGCTGATTCTTGCCCTGTGGCTTGGCCGGTGTCCAGGTCTGGCACCGGCACTGGATCAGGCCGTTCTGCTAACTGGGATTTGTTTGGCTCCGCAGCCACATATGTCAGACATGCATCCATCCTGGCTGAGCCGCTTTGTGTCCTCAGATGATCTGGTTCTTCGCAGTGGGCTGGCCTGCTGTTTGGAAACACGGAGAGTGGAAATCGTAAATCACAAACACTTGACCTACTAAAACTATGGGAGTCAGTATTTGTGGCACTGGTGCAGAAACATAATTAACTGCTGCAGTAACAGAGCTCATAATGGAATATAATCTGAGCACAGCCAGAGGAACTTCAGGCTACAGCATAGTGTAAAACAAAACAAACACAGCTGAAAACATGCACTATTAAAGGAATGCATATCGTCCAATAGATTGTAGGTTTAAAACCAATAAACACTTTCTGCAAGTTTCATTAAAATCCATTCAGCGGTTCATGTTAAATTTTGCTAACAGACAAACATGCAAAAACGCAGACCCAGGCAAAAACATTATTGCCCGCAACTGAAAGGCGAAGGCGGATAATATATAAAGTGCATATATATGAAATTGTAATTGTGATTTTAGATGATTTGCACTGTAATTTGTTGTAATGACATATTTAAAGCTACACAACTTTACAGATAAATGTCTAAATTAATTTTCCCAGTTTGAAGAGTTGAACTCGAGAATGCAGACTAACACGAGGAACTAAAAAAAAAACTACAATATCGCTAAAAAAAAACGTGGCAGATGTTACTGCTAACCTAACTCGAGGAGACAGAAATAAGGGCATAAATAACACGATGCCAGACTGATGTGAGGAGAAGAGACCCTTGGGGAAAATGACAACAGGGAACAGGTGAAAGTGGGCGGGGRAAGAGATGAGGAGCAGAAACTGAGTGAGTAAGAGTAAACTGARGGCACAGTAGACACTGGGAAAGAACTAAAACATGAAAAGCCACCAAATCCTGAWAGTAATACATAATGCTAAGTCTTGCATAAAATCCTGAAATGCATTGTGAAACCCAAAAGAAAGAAGATTTCTGATGGATAGGTTTCATGGTTCGAGGACGATTACGTGCACTACTAGAGGGAAGCCTTCAAGTACCTGAAAACATCTTTGATTAAATCTAGACAGCTTGTGCAGCTCCCATAACAGGCACTTTCCTATGCTTTCACTTTGGTGATGTTTCAGCGCAGTATAACATGCAAAACACTCAGGATATCCTGCCTGAGGGACTGCCACCCTGTTCCACTTACATCTGTCACCATGTGACGCCTCAGGCGGCCGGGCAAGACCCATATAAAGTAACTTCCCCCAGGCAATCCGCACATTGTACTCAGTGTTGAATCATCTGCGATTGTTATCACCACGATTCCACGAGACCTGTCTCACTTAAAAAAAAAAAGAACACACTGTACCTTTGAGAATGTTGTTTGTCAAAACAGAGTATCTGAGCAGCTGGATTCTGGGGTTGTTGATGAGCAGGCCACTGGTGGTGAAGATGGGCACTTCCATCAGGACTTAGGACTTGTTAAAATGGATGTTCAGATAGAAAGAGGAAAATAAAATCAGCACTTTTCTTATTTTGACAATAACATCCACCAAAAATGAAATCTGTGAATCAACGTAAACAAGTTTTATGATAGACCGGTAAATTCTCCCACGCCCATAAATACATGACATCAATTTTCCACCAGTCAAGTTTTATGTGTTTATATAAAAACAGCTGCAAGTTTGGACAGAKAGTCTTTAATGACAGGACGAGGTACGGGAGGCTGACAGACAGGCTTTGGATAGTCAGGCCTAGGAGGTAACACCCTGATCAATACAACAGTGGTAGGTAGAGAAGAGAACCTGAATGAATATTACTGGATGATGCATGATGCCATGTGCTGAATTGAGATAAACAGCTGCTGCATCACTATGGTCCAAACTGCACCAGAACCTAACCTTTGTTGTGAAACTGTACAGCAGGTGGTGTAAACAGCGTAGTTTTTCATAGGCGACAAACCCAACAGGACATTTACCATGAGAGATGCAAGAAGACCAACTGCGTCATGCCACAACTGGTTTGAAGTGCTTTACAAAGTAAAATCTGCAGCAGGACAACAGCGTCCTCACATCATGACCGCTCCAATCCTGGCTTTAGACACTGCATCGAACCACCTAGCATTCCTACCAAAACAAATCATTACATTATCATTGCTTTAACATGAGGTCATGAGGTTTGCTTGAAACGATTTTCGTTTTTGTCTTCAAAAGAAACAGAGCTCTTTTTTGAGCACTCGTGACAATTACCCTACAAAGATTGCTCAAGTTCCTCTCATTCTTTAGAATTAGTGGGATTCTTTTGGTCWACAGCAAAGACCAAAGGCTATTTTTCTTAAATTCCTCATATGGTTGTGAAAAGGTCCTAAAGCAGTTTCGGGACCCCCTAAACTTCTGAGACTTTGCGTAAAACAAAAATAATTCCACTGTTTTGTGATCCAGTTCTGAGTTTGAACTGTGCAGTGAGAGACAGTTTTTATTTATAGCCACCCCCCCCCCCCCACACACACACACACACACACCATAACTTTTATGTTTCTTTCCAGAAGATTGGTAGTTTCTGCAAAATTTGAGACGTTGCTGCTTGTAAGACAATTGTAGGTTACAAAAGCACCTGTAGCTCCCTCTACTGGTACASTGATCACTTTACTTGCACCGAAGAAATGGCAAAATCGAAAATACTTTTATTTTGAAAACGGGGCTTTTATTTTGCCAAAACCGAGAAGCTACATTGGCAAGCACAGCGCAACAACAACGAAAGGATAGGAAACGGTGGACTGTACTAAGGCCTTTTTAGCGACATTCCTTAATTTTACAACGTTTATGTTTACCATTTCGTCTGAAAAAGTAAATTAAAACACCTCATTATTTATTCATATGTACAAGGCTGGTAACTTAAAATTTCCCACACAAAACTAAGTGAGTCGCTTTCATACCGGTAGCTTCATTAGCTAATAATTAGCATTGTTAGCTGTGGTTAGCATAAAACACGTAGAATAAGACTTACCCAGCGATACATCGTATGTGTTTATATAATCAATAGATRATAATATATCATAACAGAACGTAGAATACCTTGTGTCGCTGCGTCAAGTACATTTGTGGGCACGTAAGTTACGTAGTTGGTCCCATGGTGTAATGGTTAGCACTCTGGACTTTGAATCCAGCGATCCGAGTTCAAATCTCGGTGGGACCTCGTCCTTTTTGCTCTAAATCCATGCCCATCCTTTTTAAATTCACGTTTTCATCTTTGTGCTTGTGAAGCAAAAGTGAGCAAATGATGACAATCACGTTATTAAGTTTTCAAATCTCGCTTTAATTGTTTTGTCAAACATCATGACTTACACCGTTCTTTAATTCTTTTCAACACATCAAAGCCTAAAATATATTATTCTTTTGCATAAAAAATGTATAGGAAAAATAGTAATATGTTGAAATACTGAAATCTAAATACTGTCTCAGTTTACAGACAACAAACATTGCCTAACAAAAGCTGAAAAATAAAAAAAATCTTAAATTTATCTAATAAATCTCGCTTTGAGTTAGTTTTCTGTAAAAAACACTTGGCTCTTATTTTTTGTTTTTCTTTTCATAGTCAAAGATGAACCTGGCTCCTTCATTATAAGTCTAATTTTTTTTTGTTTGATGTTACCAAAGATACTATTTTATTATACCTATTGTTTTACTTCAGAAAAAAATTTTTTTGTAGTAGCTAGTAAATACAGTTGTTTTTTGTTTTCAAATTTTAAATGTATATTGTTTTTAAAAAAAACTAAAAGAGAGTAATACTTGACATCCACAGGGGAAGCCCTTTACAAAGGGGATCAGGTGATGATTTTTGAAACAGATAAGTAGATATTTGTTAAATTTGTTCCAAAACGCAGTCCTAGTTTATCTTAAAGGACCTGTGATTAGTGCTTAAAAAGATTACGCTTTTTTAAAATAAAAATACTGCTGTTATGTGTATTCTTTACTAAATYTAGCCAAAGACTCTTTTAGACAATCTTGATTTACAAAAACTCATTAAATCAACCTATGTTGAACATTCTCAAATCCCATAAGGAATACAGCTGCAATTATTCACCTTTAACACATTACTATTTGTTTTGCTTCAAARGCTGCAGTAAAACTTTAATATACGTGGTAAATCATTTCTCCCTCATGCAGTTTGTAAAGATACATTATAATGTCTGAAACATAATATCAGTATGAAACAAAAAAAACACAAAGACACTCAGAAAGGAAAAATAAAACTTGTGTTACAATCTCATTTGGCAATGTTAGGTCACACTTTGGCTTTTCAAACTATTACCATTCAACCTTTTGATTTGTAACATGACTATCAAACAGTACTTTCCTCCACAGAGAAGTGATTTGATATAAAAACCATACAGTAGAACAATGGTGCTACACATAAAAGAAAGCAAAAAAACAAACAAAACAAAAACAACAGCTAAATATGAACATTTTATCAAAAGTATTGCAAAACTATTTTCCTCTGATACTTTATAGTGCATAGTTTTCATTGAACCGGTTTTATTTTTCTATCTGTGCAGCTGTGGTCCCAGCATGACTTTATTGATGAAGTTGACGATTGCCACAGCTGGCTGCTCAGGGTCCATCTCAGCAAACAGGTGACACACGTTCTCTGTGCTGGTGCCGCTTCGTCGCGCCACAAAGCCAAACATCCTGTGAAAATAAGGTCAGACAGCACAAGAGGTCAAAAGACTAGAGAGCAACGAGTATTAAAGAACACAAAATGTCCCCGTTTTTTTACAAGCTGACATGCTTTCATTGAGGATTTTTAAAAAGCATGAAGCCACATTTTGTCTTTTACTTTACATGTGTCAAAGTCAAGGCTCACGGGCCTAATCTGGCCCTCAATGTTTATCTGGCTCCAAAGGTAATACTTCGAATGTGAAATAGTTTGATGTTTTCTCTTTTTGTCACTTTATTTAGTGCGTTCTTCTCATTACAGTTGGCCAACTTTAAAGTTAAACCTTTTCAGTAATTTTTGATTTTTTTTAGATTAAAGAGCGACAGTGAATGGACTTTAATTATCTTTTGCTCTTTTTGTTTCATATTATTATTGTTTCTTAGTCAAATAATTAGATCTTAGTGAGGTTTTTGTTTTTTACCTGAATTGCAGGATTGTAATAAAATGTATCTCTAAGAAATAATTTATTTAAACGTTGTGGGTCAAAAGTAAGGCATAAAAAATAATGCTATTGATCAGTCTTTGCCAATTTTTTTTCGTTATGTATAGTAATGTATTTTACATAGCAAAGTTTTATGTAACTTTACATAAAAGGGCTTTTGTWTTTCTAGAAGATTATTTTGTCACCTGGTTCACATTAGATTCACATTAAAAATGTACTTTTTCCTCCCAACTCCAGTAAATTCATAAAATGTGTATTAGTTTTTAAAATCTGTACTTTGAAACTTTAAATCTGCACTTTTTGTGTTGCAAACTGCACAAAGCTTGCTCATTCCAATGGGGATGTAATAGGGTTAATGCCCATTTTTTTGTGCTTAAATCTAAAACTATTTTCTGTAAGTACTTAATTGTTCTACAAATATCAAAAACTTCTACCACAACCTCTTCTTATTTTTTCGTAGAGAAATGAGCCCTTTCCTCTTTGAAYTTTAAGTTTAACAAACAAATAATTGAAGAACAGAACCAGAATTTATCAGTGCTTTATAAATAAGTTCTTCATAAGTTACACTTTATAGGTCATTGAAAGTCATTATAAAACCCTGTTAGATAATTTTTTTTACTTAAATAATTTTATAGGTCAGTAATATTGATCCACAAAATGTTATTGCTTGATATTTAAAATTTAAATTTAGAGGAAATCTGTAACAGTTGAGACCTTGATCTTGCCAAAGGCAGCCAGTTTTGATGTAAATGATTTTTAATGCTTTATGAAGGGTTTACAAATACATTTTCAAAGCATTAATAAATCCTTCATGAAGGAAATCTTTTTTTTTCAACAGTTAACCTGCATTTTGAATGTTTTCTTTTCTGAAATTAATAAAAAAAATAGATCCTGATGAAAATTGGCAAAGTGGAAAGCAAAAAGAAACAGCAAACATCTCTGGTTTCCCTTTCCTCTAGTASATCTAATGCATTATGATTTAAAACAAGTATAATTTAAAATTATTAAACGTGTCGCTCCAAATGTAGGTTTACTGTTGTATTCAAACTTTTCAAGTTGATAATGACTTCATGCATCAAAGTATGCAGTACAGTACAGAAATATATTTTCAATGATCRATACTCTACTTCTGACAGATGTTAAATGCAGTCAGTAGAAGTAAATGGTGATTGAGGGCCGTGCAAAGCAACAAACTGCAGCAGTGGGTAAACACAACTTACTTGCTTGATGTTCTATGAGAATTAGTCCACCTGAAGCACAGGCACACAGGGACACAGAGACAAAATGTAGGAAAGCATGAAAAACAAAGATATGAAGTATATCAGAGTAAAAACACTGGCAAGCAACTCACATAGAGAACTTTAAAAAATGAGATTAAAGCAAAGACTTGTACAGAATCAGCAGAAGGCACAGTTACTACTTTTACTGAGAGCAACTGGCAGTTCCAGCACACTGCTCGGACCTACCTCTGATCTTGGGGGTCAAGACTGCTGAAAGTGACGCTGCTGATTGGGTAGTGCCGCCTAAAAAAAAGTCTGCGCAGAGAGAGAGAGTGAGAGAGAGAGAGAGAGAGAGAGAGAG